TTGGATGCTGTAACAACCTTCTTGCAAGGAGAACTTTCAGAGGAAATTTACGTGACTCAACCAAAAGATTTTAATAACGTTATAGGAAAAGTATGCAAGTTAAATAAAGCGGTCTATAGATTTAAGCAGAGTAACAGAGAGTGGAACAAAAAACTTGAGATTTTGAAATCATTTGAACTCAAAAATTCTCTAGTTGACCCGTGTGTATATTCTTTAAAGGACTCTTCACGTATTGTAGCCATATACCATATATAGATGATATTTTCATTCTTTGGAAAAATAAAGAAACGAGAAACAAGAAACAAGCTAAAAAGTCTCTGAGTGCAGCTTTCAAAATAAAAGATATGAGAAAAGCTACAGACTGTGTTGATTTATACATAAGGTATGAAGATGATACAATTTTCCTGGATCAATCAAAATATATTAATGAGCTCCTAAAGCAATTTAATATGATTGATTGTAATCCAGTCAAAACTCCAAGCAACATTAACCAGAAGTTACCTGTCATCAAGTGTCCTAAAGATGAACTAGAGAAACAATAAAACTTGCAAACATATCCTATCAAGAAGCAGTGAGTAGTCTATTATACATGTTAGTATAAGGAACCAGACTAGAATTGACCATTACCATGAAGAATGTAAGTAGACTTTAACCAGAATTTCGACAAGGCTCATTGGACAGTCGTGAAGAGAATTGTGCGTTATGTTAAAGGAACAGCTAATTCCAAACTATGTTATACAAGATCAGGCGAGTGTCAACTGGTTATACCAATTGAGCATTGGACATAGATAAGCGTAGATCGTACTCAAACTCTCTAATAGTGCTATCTCAAGTAAGCGGCAACCTACAATGGCTTTATAAGTACCGAGACAGAATATATAGCTCTCTCCCCCGCACTTCAGCAGGCAACTAACTCAAAAACTTTGGAAAGGATTTAGATCTAGATATCAAGCAAAAAGCGATTAAGATTGGTTGTGATAATCAAAGCGCACTGAATTTAGCCAAAATGGATGGATACAGAGTCAGATCTAAACATATCAATGTGTGACACCACTACACCTGAGATAAAATCAAAGACAGAACAATAAAGATTGTATATGTACCCACAGAGAAAATAGTAGCCGATAGTTTAACAAAAGCTGTAACTGGGCAAAAGAGTAATTTCTGTGCAAGTGCAATGGGTTTAGAGAGACGTAAAAAAATTTTAATAATCTAATCTCATATCAGTTGGGCATATAGTTAGCAAAAACAATTAGTTTAATTTTTTTATAAACTCGGTTTGGTTTTTAATATTTGAATGAGTGAGGGTGTTGAAGTTACTATAGAGCTTGGACTTATGTTCCCTTATCCTCTCTGCACTGCACGTTAAGGTACCCTATTGTATATAATAATAATTCCACGTGTAGGATAAACTGCGTTATGTCCGAAAAAGAAAATCGGCGCGTAGAACTAATGTGGAGAGAAACGGTATATAGATTCACGATTTTCAGAAAGATATAAGATTTGCAAGTTGGGCTACCTACATATCTTGCCTCGTGACCCACATTGGCATGTTCTCATATATTGTTTGGTACCCTATTGTATTTATCTTTTTTAAATAAATACTGTTCTTACTTTCCGTTAGTCAATCAAGCTGTGTGCATCATTCTTCCCTTTGCTCTGCTCACAAATCGCCCTCAAATTTATAAACAATATCAGATAGTGAAATTGATAACAATTAGCTGCCTCTCATTCCTCCTCCTGATCACCAGCTATTCCCCCTTTGCCACCTTATCTTTTTCACCCAGAAAATCATCCCTCCCCTTCACCTCCTAGTTCTCTGTGCTTCTTTAAATTTCTTCATCCTCCTTCTCCTCTGTCTCTCTCTCCCACTCCCTCTCCTCCCTCCTCCCCTGTACACCCCCGAGCCTTCTTTCTCGGAACATGACCATCATCCTCCCTTACCTTCACACTCATCTGAATATTTTCCTTTTTCATCTTTATCACATTTGCCAGTACCTCCTTTACCTTCTTTACCCTCTAATTTTCACGTCCCTTCGATTGACGAGGCCTTCCGTTCCTGGCGTTGTCTACAACATCAAGCGTGGAGATCCTTGAGCGACTCCTTCCTTTTCTTCCCTTATTCTGTCAAAGAAGTGAGATTGCCGTCTCCGGCTCATTCCACATCCAACGTGGAATTTATTGGAGAGATTTCTCCCTTTCCTCTTCCTTGTCCCTGATTTAACTTAAATATCCTCATATCCCAAGCAAAATTACAGGAATATCTTCTTTACAAAGAGAAGATTCCAGAAAGAGTTTTGTAAATACGTTGCAACATCAGGAATGCATGTCATTGCTATAACGTTTGACGAGCTATCTGCAAATATTTATATGTACATACAACAAATTGAATGCAGATATCTATAACGGAAAGCCTTTTTTTTGCATCCAATAGGTAATTATATTTTTATAATATTAGATACAGTTCATATGCTAAAATTGATGAGAAATGCTCTAGCCTCTAAATTATTTTCTATGACGGTGATGGCAATGCTCTAGCCTCTAAATTATTTTCTATGACGGTGATGGCAATGCAATAGAATTTCAATATTTTGAAAAAAATAGTTGAACTACAAGAAGCTGAGTATTTTCATTTGGCTAACAAATTAACCAAAAAACATTGTGGTATTGCATGTTAAATTAGTTGTTTAGACTTTCAGAAAATTATGGTGCTGCTCCATAACAATTATTAGAAAATAGTCATGTAAATTTCATAGGATGTCCGACAGTAAAGTTTTGTCGGATGGTAAACAACACTTTTCATTGTCTGAATTCAATAAGTTTGCTTTCATATGGTGTTAAACGACCATTGAAGCATGATATAGTGACAGAAAATTTTTTTCTGAAGCTATAAATTATTTTTCTTTGTTAAAAGTGCAACCTGCCGGGCAGCTTATAATTGATAGTAGAGAAAAACTGGGTTTAAAAATTTTATAATTGGGCTCGAACTCAGCTATTACAGTGCTCACACGTATGCATATATTTTATAACTCAACTCTGTCTTATTCAACAACGATGACTGACTTAGTATAACTCGAATAGGACCCAAAAGAATAGGGTCGAAACGTTGTGCAATAAACTAATTAAATAACTAGCCAGTTGGGTTGACTATAAGTTTCCCGTCACGATATATTTTATCATACAAATTGTCATTAGATCGTCCAGAAATCTTATTTTCATGCCTTAGGGCTATAGGTGGTTATAATAATAATCCTAATTGTGTACAGTTTTCGTTATCGTACAAGAAATTATTGCATTATAACAAAGTAACGTCTTCTGCACATGCAAACTGTGTGCCGATCGATAGTACAAGTATTTTAACTGTTCCATCGACAAAACGAGAATCAACAGTATACAATAAATAGCAACATATGCAATAAACATTAAATTAAAGCAGACTAACAATTAAATCTTAAAGATGTAGATATTGATTTGCTAATACAGATGTTTAACTTGAGTTTACATCATGTTACTGTGTACGTTGCTGGTTATGTAGAAAAGCGTGTTTAAGAAAAATTAACACGTAAAACTTGCTTTACGTTGTTAATTTGTTCAGGATGGGCTGGTCTCTATAGAAATCTTTCATTTTGGAAAAGCCCCCGTTCTGAAAGGGTTAAATGAGTGTGACAAAGCAAATTCAGATTTTATTACAAGAAAAAGTTTATATTTTTTTCATTTCCTAAGAACCGACACATATACAGAAGCCATCTTTGTAGACGAAGTATTTAATCTCTACTGAATAAAGAATAATTTGCAATAAAAAATACATACAAAAAGGATTAGTTGCGTTTTTCTCAATCTATTTTTTCTTAATAATTCTATTTCTACTATTTTTTTTAATTTTAACACTCATATTTGCAATCTAGATCTTCTCGACAATCATAAATATGAGTTAATTGTTCATTATATTATTTCGACAATTGTCATACAATACAATTACATGACACGTTTGCCTGGCATAGTAATACAAAAATGACTATTTTTAAAAATCAGTAATATTAATATAATATTAATAGAATAATGTTATAATAGATACTTATTTTATATTTATAACGTTATATGTTTACATTTATTTTATCTTTATAATTTAATATTTTCTTCTTTATAATAAATTAAAAAGTTTGTAATAATAATAGCGATGTCTTTGTATAACTCACTTATTCTCCAATATTTTATATCTAAATTTTCCACCTTTTGGGCAAAAGGTGGAGCTAATATCATTACATATTCATCATGATATTTCTATAGAAAAAGAGACTGTTACTAGCAGTCTTGGTTTCTCTAGTTAAAGTAATTCACTCTTAACAAATCAAATCACGTATTGATTCTCGCCAACTTATTCTTCTTGCAATTATCTTCATAAACGGAATTACATTATATTGTCAAATAAATGTTAAGTTTAAGTCAAGATTTGCTCTAATTTAATTTAAGTCGAAAACAGAGACCTCTTTTATTCTGTCCACCTTCAAAATTGCAAAGTCTGATTCCAGGTAAGGAGGATTAGCTTTCTTGACTAACAATAAAAGAGGACCGACAATTGCACCGCTCACGGACGGTGTCATAACGTGGAGAAATAATATGTTGATGTGTATTTGAAGCTTTAGAAAAGTATATTCAACTCCCACTTATATGCATTTGTCACGTGTACCTGTAAGACGGAGTGTTTTCCATCTGGCACCCTTCCATACCCCATCCCTGACTCTTTCTGTCTCCCCTTACGACTATTTGGGTCTGTTTAGGTGTCATAAATCAGAAGTGAAATTAGAGCTAAATTAGAGATTTGGGCAACGTCTGGAGGGAACGATGTAACAGCTTTATCAAGACGTCTTTTTGTTCCTTATCCGAAAGTCCTAAATATGATTTCCGTTCCATAATTTAAAAAATAATAGTCTACTACTCAATTACTAAACTTTTAGGTTTATAACTTATATATTTATTACCAAACATATAGATAATTGAATAAATATAAATGAATATTTATTATAAATATACTACCCAGGTAGCACAAACCGCTGTCCAAACGTTGTGGCAATGTACATTGCTGCAAATTATTTATAGTAAAATTTATAAAAAATGCTCCATAAATTAGAAAATTATAAGATATTGATATATAAGTATTATAAGATTGGTAATTAACATTATAAAATTTCATTATACAGATTAGAATGTCTAAATGTGATTATATACACCTTATATGATGATGCGTTAATAAATAATTTACTAAAAAATAAATTATAATTACTAAAATATTCATAAATTTCAAGCACATAGAGTAATGTTCACTAACAAATGGTTAACTATAATAGATTGCACGGCGCACAATAAGCGCGGGAAACTGCATTTATTAACTATCAAAAGTTCTCTAATTTGGAGATCTAAGTGCTCCAAAAAAATCATCTGGCGTTTATTGGAAATCTGTGCTTGTACACGAACCATACACCGTCATCAAGCAAATGGACATAGTTCACTTTCTCAGTAGGCGTCTGTTTCCGAGCTAGGTGGTCGCTCTCAAGTTTCTCTCTGTGTGCTATACTATACTATTCCTCTCATAAACAAATTAACAAATACGTTAAAATGTTTGTTAATTGTTTATTAATGAGTAATGTGTACTGCACACAATCGCATACATAAATTAGAGGATCTCTTTTACATCATAAGCACAGTCGTTGGTGCAATTGTCTTGGCGCACGTCATCTACAAAGACAACATATCATATATTATTGAATTGCAACTGGTTACTCATCCAAAAGTACCTGAGAAATAGTCACATTCTGTGATTTCTTTCTTATAAACGAAAAAATAAAAAACTTGCAATTTTGCAGATGTATTTGTTACTATTTTATTATCACTTCCATTGAATTTTATATAAAAATGATACTTATTAAAATAGAAGGTATAATGTACGGCTGTTTTGAAATGTTTGTCCTAAATGGTTGCTACGATTGTGATTATTTTCATCATAGTAAAGAAAAAAATTGAAGTTTATTTTAATCAGTAGGCTTATCTCTATAGCTTGAACCTCTATAACTTGAATCTCAATTATACATGAAAAGCTAAGTAAAAAGAAATAGCAGTATGCTAAAGGAGGATTTTAACTTTTTATAAACTTTTTACTTTAAATTTAAAGTGTGCTAAAAATAGAAATATTAATGATATTGAAATGATTATGTTTTTATAATTTTGATAAAAGCTATAAGGAGACACATATGTGTGCATATGGAACAATATAAATTTGAAGTTAATCTGTTCATTCAGTTTTTCAAATATTGTAGCATTTATCAAGAACAAACATTTGTACTTTACTATACTTTATTTTAACAAAGTAGTAACAAATATACATGCAAAACTACAAAGTTATGAATTTTTAGTTTATAAGAAATCCCAAAACTTGTCTATTTTTCAGGTACTTTTCAGCGAATATTCTTTTATTGTTAAATGCATCTTGTTACAAATATGTCATACCAAGTTATAACTATATTGTATTAATTATAAATAAAATTAAAGAAAATAGCTTACTAACCAAGCATCGTTTGTGTTTGAGTTGTCGTGGTTATCATTTCTGAAAATTCACGACGCTGTACATCAGTGTCAAGCGCATGTACACGTTCCCTGTTTCTACACAATTCCTTCCGCAGCTTCTCCCGCTCTTCTTCTCTCTCTTTTATAATCTCCTGCAATTTATTAAAATTCGATATAATTTCCAGATATTATAAAAAGAAATACTGAATGCTTCTACGAATAAAGTTTTCTCATTTTTTTTAACATTTTGCATTTTAATGTATATCAGCTTTTGAAGCGAAAAAAACATGTTCAGAGCAGGTACAATTAAAACAAATAGATAAAAATTATAAGTGAATACAAAATATATAACTGTAAATTAAACTATCGAAAAAAGTTGATAAAAAGGTTCGATAAAAATACATACTTTTTAGTATAAGAATGACACACAAAAGCAAATTGTTTATTACAATTTTTATTATATGAAGTTATTTTCTTATATTTTCAAAGGGATGTGTGTATATAGGAAGAATTAAAAAAATTGTTTTTATAATTGTTTTTATAGAAACAATTTTTATCTCAAATTGATTATACTATATTTAACTAGTAAGAATATTCTTAAAAGTCGCCAGAAGTAATTAACAACATCAGTGATTTTTATTGATCGTATCTGGCAATTTTCATAATACAGAAATTTATTCTGTATTTGTTGAAAAAAATCTTGTTTCAAAACTTTCCAAATATAATTGACTGTATAAAACCAGGGAGGTCCGAATCAGAGTTGGTTTGCACGCAAGCATAAGACTTTATGTCTTTTTGTCCACATTACAAATTTTCATGACCGATAACTTGATCAGCTTTGGTATTTTGCTTCCTCATAGAGGAAGCTTTGTTTTATTTGTTTATACTGTGCATATTAATCTTAAAATTTTAAATACCTATTGCTATATTTCTATTTTCTTAATAATTTTATATACTATTTATAAAGGTATTAAAAATTTTGAAGTATGTAAGATCATCAAATATTACGCTGATATGTTTTACTTTTATAATAATAAATAATGACCAAATTTACCAGGAGTTGCGACAATTGTGAGAGCTGGGACGTGAGATAATGGCAAATCGGCTGTACCATTCCCATAATTGATTGTTGAGGATGCGAGTGACTTCGTAATGACGGACAACCGGTAGCTTCACACGCAGGAGAGGATTGTATCAATGTTCCACGTGATGCAAATATTGTTTCCGTCTCGTTCACATTTAATGCAGAGTTCAACGTTTTCATCAGCTGATCAGCTACGGGCCAAAGAAAAAAGTATAATAAATAATAAAATATAACTGTATTGTTAGACATGTAAACTCTTATTCTATAAATAATTTAACAAATGTACATTATAACTTTTTGTGCAGTTATTAATAAAACTTGTACACGTACACATACATACATACTCGCATGCACATCTCCGTATCAATTAAAGGCATGTAAAAGTTTCACATAAAATGTGAACAATACTTAATAGTTACTTGTAAGTTAAATTGTGATAAAATCAAATAAAATTGTATCAGTTTAACATTATTGCTCTCTACCAAATTATGTATGCAATTTAAGTTGTGCAAAATACTTTTTCGCTTTTATCTCTTTTTTACAGGAAATAATTAAAAATTTATTGTTATTTTCTAGAGCGTCCACTCAAATCTTAGCAAATGTTTCATAAAAATTTCCTGATTTCTACACATCTTGTTCAAATCATCAAATATTTAAATAATTTTGGATGCGAACTTAAAATAAATTATTAGTTTCTTAATTATAATTAAAAAGTATAATATTGATCCACCAGCAAATATTAAATTGAAGGGTGAATAAATCGACACCACTGGCAACAGGAAAACCTCAGTCGTATTTCCACAGCGCCACGATGACAATTGCTCAGAGTGAGACAAGCTCCATGTAATACTAATTTAAATTGGTGCCCGATGGCATTTAACTACATGCTATGCGCCGTTTGATTTGATTGCACTTGAGGGCCAAAACCCATGGCTGAAACGTTGTGCGAATAAAGGAAGTTTTCCTGTTGCCAGTGGTGTCGATTTATTCACCCTTCAATTTCTTAATTATCCTTTTCTATTTGTATAATTATGGAGAAAAATTTAGAACTACTTGTTTGAAATATTAGAATTTAAAAAATTAGATTACTTTCATAAAATATTTGCTTGTAATTTTAAAAATATAATAACTAAAATTTATTAACGTAAAAATATTAACCCCTTCGGCAGCACGTTCAAATTTACTGTTTGCCCTCCATAAGAAAAAAAACTCTGAAAAATTTTTTAATCTTGATATGTACGGGTTTTTGGGGTCACTGAATAAAGCGTCGTCTACAATGAACGCAAAACGCAAGACGCTAGGCCGCAAGCAAGAAATCGACCAACGACAGTCGATCTTTCTTCTCATACTTGACTGAGATTGGTTTCTTGCTTGCGGCCTAGCGTCTTGCGTTTTGCGTTCATTGTAGACGACGCTTAAGATTTTGAGGTCAGAATTGTAAAATTAAAAATGGCGGATCACAATTTCGGGTTGCTAACACGTATATTCGGTTGTAGTCACTAAACTCTCACTCACTATGACTAAATGCATTAAAATAATTAGAATTTTAAAATTCTGTTGAGAAATTTATAATTAGTGGTACTTAAAATCTCTTTATACCCCAAGTTTAAAAAAAATCTAACCAAGCTGTTAATTTTTCGAATATATGATCTGCCATGTTAAATTGTACGATGCTAACATGAAAATAATTAGCAAACCAAAAAACTCTATTTCAAGTATAAACAAATTTGCGATATTTAATCTCAAAATAAATGCTTAACGTCAAATGGCGTCAATGCCAGAGAAGGGGTTAACACTCATAGGTGCGTTTTTCCAATCTCTTGGTAAGCTAACTAATAGTTAAATTATACAGGGTAATGAAAAAATACCGGAACCCTGAAATATTTCGAAAAATATAATTTTTATGAAAAAATGTTTCAGATAAAAATTGCAGGGTTTTAAGTAACGCCTTAGTTAGCGACAGTCTTGCCTTAGTTGGCTGGACAATTGGCGATCTCACCTTTGTAAGCTAGAGCTAGACATCTTACCATAAAAAGCTCGATAACTTCAAAATGGCTTACTTAAGCTTTAGCTTAAAGTGGATAAAGTTAGTGCTTTAATAAGGTCTAAAGAAGTACTACAAAAACATAAGTCTTATAACTCGGAAAGTCATCATCAGAACAGATGTGTTCTCGCTCTGAAAGACGTAGCATATTGACAAACGGAAGAATAAATCAAGTCGAACAAATTAATACTTGGAACTTATGTTAATAATTCGAAGTTTTTCTAAAGACAATGCTGAAGAATAATGACCAAGTGAAATGCAAGTGACGACAGCCAATGTTTATTAACTGTTGTTAGATTTCGAAAAGTAAAATACTTTATATTCCTTTCGCTTCGTATTTTATATACGAGAAAGTCGAAATCGCGCAGGCTCCCTAGTGACGCGCTTCATACGGTACATCTTGGGTAACGCTAATGTCGGCAGTACTGTGACTTTCAAGTCTTGTAATTCGGAAAGTACTTAATGAAAAATAACTTAATTGTAGTGTTTTGGAAAGTTCTCGAAATAAGCTACATATAAAAATATGTATAGTGAAAAACAGGGGGTTCCATTTAAGAAATTTAAGATGACCTTTATGTGACTTTGACAATGCTATTCAAGATCGTACTGATATTGCTATGTAATGCGTTACTTGAAACCCTACAACTTTTGTCTAGAACATTTTTTCTTAAAAATTATATGTTTTAAAATATTTCCTAGTATTTTTTCCTTACTCTGTATGTCTGTCTTTGTTTAATTCGAAAAAAAAGACATTCTACTAATTAACTATTAGTTAATTTAACGAAAAATTGGAACAACCGGCATATATACAGTGTCTGAGATCACTCGTATACCACTTTTATTTCGGAAACAGAGCATTTTAGAGAAAAATGTTTCAGGCAAAAGTTATATGGTTTCGAGGAGGACATAAGATGGTGTCATTAATTTGACCTTGAATAGTTGCTTGAAGGTTACCTACAATTTTTTTAATGGAACCCCCTATTGTTTAATACACTATCTTATTCTACTAATTAATATGAACAAATTTTGCCTGAAACATTTTTTGATTTGCCTAATACTTTTTGAGATATTCAAGAAAAAATTTTTAACTTTTTCAATGTTTAGCTTATGACATCTCGATAACTGTTTGTCGGAGGGAAAAGTAGTACAAGACTTTTTTACTTGATTTGGTCTAAGGAATATGCTGTTGTTATAATGCTCCAATTATTGAAAATTTTTGTGTATGTAAATTTTGTGTATGTTATAATACAATACACAAAAATTTTCAATAATTGGAACACTATCACAACAGCATATTTCTGAGACCAAATCAAGTAACCAAGTCCTGTACTACTTTTCCTTCCGACAAACAGTTATCGAGATATCATAAGTTAAACATTGAAAAAGTTATAAATTTTCTCTTCAATATCTCAAAAAGTATTAGGCAAGTCAAAAATGTTTCTGGCAAAATTTGTTTATATTAATTAGTAGAATAAAATAGTATATTAAACAATAAGGGGTTTCATTAAAACCTTCACGTGACCTTCAAGCAACTCATCAAGGTCAAACTAATGGCACCATCTTATGTCTCCTTCGAATACCTAACCATACAACTTTTGTATGAAACATTTTTCTCTAAAATGCTCTGTTTCCGAAATAAAAGTGGTGTACAGGTGTACAGGTGTACACCCTTATATACAATTTTTTTAATACTTAAATATAATAAAATTTATGTAAATATCAAGGAAATTTCAAAGTGTTACTTTACTACTTTTGTAGTAACAAAAGTAGTAAAAACAGAACCTATAATTATATATTTTTTACCCAAAATAACTTCTCAAACAATTTTTCAAAGTTTTTTACAAATCACTCTGTACAATAATAAATATAGTGTTTACACATATTTAATATCTCTATATTTCTACTATCGACAATTTTATAGAATAGTAAATTTTGTTACTTATAACTAAATTTGTTTTTGTTGTTAGTACTAATAATAAATACTTTGGCTAATAGCAGCAAGTATGAGTTCGGTGGGTTCTTTTTCCGCCGTGGATGGTTCAGATGCTATGTCAGCCACATGCTCAAAATCTTCCTTAGGAATATTTAATATATCCGCCATTAGTGATTGCTTTTCTTGTAGAGCTTGTTTGATTATTTCATCTTTACGCCTCAGACATTCTGAAAAATTTTAAATATTTATGATTTAGTTTTGCTATCGTATGAAAATTTGTTTTGTACACAAATTGCTTTCCATTTTAATAAAATTAATATTATGTTTTGTATTATATAATACTATGTTTTGTATAACTATGATTCTGTGTTAAAATTACTAATGATACAATAAAGTTTAAATACATTACTTAGTACTTATATGAGGAAAGGCAACTCAACGATTGGTAAATCTAAACTTTTGCATAAATAAATGATTAAGATAATGTACAATTAGGAAGAACAAATGGACATAAATGTATACAGATTTACTAAGAATATTTTGGTGAGTAATAAGTCTATTTATTTCATCTCAGTTTATGGAACAAAATATGACATAAGAATATTCCGAAAGTTGAGTAGTTACTTTTGTTTCAAGTGTGACATCAAATTTGTTTATAAAAAAAGGTCGGTATAGTATGTAGAGAAGAATTTACAAGAATGTTAAAGAAAATGTAGAATATGAATGTATTATAATAATAGTGTGTATGCTAGATACATTGTGGAAATATAAAGATATATAGACTAGTAATAATAAAAAAATAACAAAAGACAAAAAATAATAAATAGAGGAGAAATCAGGAGGTATAACAGTATCCCAGAAAGATATAATCAAAGTTTAACAAAAATAAAAAATAATAGGTCAAAAAGCCCTGGATAAGAAAAAAATAGACAAAAATTAAGGAAAAAAAGAGTTCCATTTTAAACATTCCATAAAGATCAAGAAAAAGAGATAAAGAAAATAAAAGAGATAGACGAAAAGAAAAAAGATAAGCGTAAAAACTGTATTTGACTGTGTCGGTAAAAAAAAGATGGCTAAAGGAGTTCGCAGATGGTTGAGAGATCTTCTTAAGGACATTCATTGACTGTAATTGTAACCAAAAGTTTTTGCTCACGTTCGGTCTTCTTCCCGTATAGCGCGACCGTCTTCCTACTTCACGACTTTTAACGTGGAATTATACATATTACATAATTAATTCAACTCTGCGTCTTATATGTATACACATACATATAAGAGTATACACTAGCACGCTTTGTGAAAAACAAAGATCGAATAACATCCTATCAAACATGACGATGTACTTCAAAGATCATGTTTAAAGGATTAAAAACAGGTTGTTTTAAAGTAATTGTATCGAAAGACTGCAAATAATTTGAGACACTTATATGTAAAATTTGTTCAAGTTGTGAAGTAATAACTATACAAAGAAACTAACGTTTTAAAACAAGGGAAAGACATATTATAAATAACTCTAAAAAAATTAAAGTTTAGAAGAGCAATTGTAAAAATTGTAATGCATCATAAATTGTACAGATTAAGGCATTTAGAGATTCGAGTCAGGAGATATTTTAATGATATTAAGAAATTTGAGAATAAAGCTACTATGATTATCAATGTAACATTGAAAAAGAATAATATATGTAAATTCTTTGACAATTATAATTTCAAAAAGCGATTATCATTATAATTATTTATTTTAAATTGAACTTTCTATTGGTACGGCCGTCTTTCTATTGAGGACTAGTTTCACAAATGTCGGTTAACTGTTAACCAGAGTTCAGTCAACACCCTATCTTTTTTTATCTTATTATTTAATAAGAGACAGAGAATCAATTATCCTTCGGTTGGCAGTTAACCGAAGTTTGTGAAACTGACCTTAAACATTACAAATATCTATAAAAGATGATTTGTTATTTATATTACTATATTTTAATATTCAATGTATGTCACAATAATATCATCCAAGGCATGTAAAAGCTTCACACAGATGTAAATAGCATTAACGTAGTAATTACTTAGTAATTGTTTAGTTAAATTGTGATAAAATAAGTTAAAATTGTTAAAGAGACATGTATACATGTATACCTATTGGCGTAAGAACGGGTTCTGCAACATGTACCGGAGGTACTTCCACATGAACTTCCAATGGATCTATTAACGATAGCTGAGTACACGTGACCATTCGAAGTGGCTCTGCCATACCTGAATGTAGCAAAAAACCAGATTAATAACAAAAGTTAAAAATGTCTCTTTCAATTTTCTAAAAATATTAGACAAGAAACGTACGAGCGCATGTGCGCGCGTCTGCGCGCATGTTGTATATATACAGGGTAAGTTTTTTCAAGTGTCACAAACTTATATCTCGAAATCAAGGCATTTTAGCAAGAAATATTTGATACAAAAGTTTTTTTTTAATTTCGAGGACATAAGAGAGTATCATTGGTTTGATATGGGATAGTCATTTAAAGATCACATGAAGATTACCTTCAATTTTTTAAGGTGGCTCCTGAACGAAGGAGCGGTTAGTATGAGTGCTTTGGAGGGAGGACCCTTTATTTTTGTAAATTCATATGACTTATTCATAAAAAATATCACTCAATGCATTATTGATCAAATGCATTGATATGCTAAGTTATACATGCATATTTAAAAATATGTGATGTTGTCAAGTCTCAAAGAGCTGTCAAATTTCCTCAAAACATTGTATCTTTTGACTTTACTAATAAGTATTTACTTGCACAGGTCGTTGACCTCACATAATTAATAACGCATTTGAATCCTTGTAACATTTATTATGTTTATCTCGTTTTTTTGGTAAAGATCTATTTTTTTTCTATAAAATAATATTAACCTTTAAAGTTCTTCTGCGAGTGATTGACCTATAACCCCTATACAAAAAGTACAACTTCAACATTTTTTCTTCCTTTCATTTCATCGGCGACCAGGTCTGAAATTTCGCGTACTGATAGATAAAATTTACAACTACACATATTTAAATTTCAATTTTTTTCTACTTTTGGTCGGTTAATGTAGGAACCACCTTAAATGGAACCTCCTATTATTATATATTCTTTTAGCTTATCTCAGGACCTTTGCAAAACACTATAATTAAGTTAATTTCTTTATGTCCTCCTCGAAACTTGTACGAAACATTTTTTGCTAAAACACTTTGTTTCCGAGAAATAAGTTTAAAAAACTCACCCTGTATATAAATTGTTCATTTAGTGAACTTGATACACTTTAATACATTTTTATTTAATTGAAATAAAAGGAAATTAAACTAATAATATAGTTTTCGGTTATATGACGACTGAAATATTTATCAAAAAAACTATGCAAATACTTTTTGGAATACAAAAGAAACAAAATGTATAAGGTATTTAATAACACAGCCCTACAAAAAAAAAGTTATCCAGGCCTAAGACTAGTCAAGTGTATTCTTATACAATATTTTGACCCCCGCTGAATCTGAATCTGGGGTCTGAATTGAACAATTACTAGATATATCGTCCCTAACCTAAAAATTCCCTGATCTCAAAACTCATAATTTTACGAGGCACTTTTGCTAGACGTACCCACCCTTTGGTCTGCGGAACTAAAGTAATATAAACATTTTTTTTTTAGTATTTTGACCTGCTGAATACGAATCCGAGGTCAGAGTTGATCCATCAGGTCTCCAATCCTCCCTAAACTCAAGAAATGCATTAAAGTTCCCCAAAAAACTGCTTCTTGAGCTATTTCTTGATTTATGAAGTTCTACTATAAAATTTTTGATCAATCAAGAGAATGCTAAAAAAACGTCGAATTTTTTTACTTTAAGTAGGGTATAAGTTTTTTCTTTATCTTGCAAAACAGTCTATTAGAGCTGCAAAAACAATTCAATTACCTACTACCCCTGCTTGTGATACTAGACTCTTTTACTCTCAAAGAATCTGTGCAATGGTTTTCTCTTACATACGTTTCTTTCCCCTTGGTGATACTTTTCTTCTTGCAACATATTATTATATAACAAGTATTACATATTTTTTTAGGAAACCCAATCACTTTCTTGATTTGTAATTTCTAAGCCAAAACATCCTTTGTAACGTTTCTTAATTTTTACAATTATATTCCTTCCCTATATAGAAATGTTCAAATGATCATAACTTTGCAAAAAAATCGTAGAGACCTCGACGACCTCGCATTGTTTTCGTTCTCGGAAAGCCCTTTCAAACGAGCCCTCACTCAACCCCCCATACCATTTAAGATTTTTTGCTCCCCCTCCCTCCATCCCCCGAGAGTGTAGAGATGAGTGTTTTTCTGATTAAATAATAGACTTTGTGACTCCATTGTATCTCCATAAATTTCAATCCTATATTTCAAACCATTCAAAAATTATTTAGGTGGCCCGGAACTTTCGGTAGGCACTGTACAATTACTGTAATAGTAGCTTTTTGTTTATCAAATTTCTATAAATTTTTATATTACAAAGAAAGCAACATTTTGTATTAGGTATATTTAATAATAAATTTTTGACTGAAGAAAACTTGGACCAGAATCAAAACGAATGTCAACAGAACTATAAATATTAAAGCAACTACACATACTGCCAATACTATAAATATTATACATGTATATGAATATTACACATAAATGTATGGAAAAAACACAACAACTATAGAAAACCATGTACAATAAGTATTGTATCATATAAAAATTTTTATTTAAGGGAAAAAATATGATTCTATCTTTGCCTTTCTTACTTATATTTCAAAATCATTTTATACAGGGTGTCCGAAAAATCGCCTATTCCACTTCGGGAGGTGATTTGGGACCCAAAAACAAGCAAAAACGTTCATACAAACATAGGTCCGGAAATGAGCCGTTTCCGAGTTATAGCCACTTTTATGTTCAAAAATCGTAAATTTTTATTTATTTTCAATTCAATTCAATTAAAAAAAGAAAACAACTTATCTCAAGTAGTCGCGAAAACAACTGACTTTGAATAGTCGCGAAAACAACTGACTTTAAGTAATCGTGAAAGCAACTGATTTCTTTTAAAAATAATGTAATTGTATTTACAAATATTGAAAAATTGAAAAACTAAAAAAATTAAAATTAAAAAAATTAAAAATACAAATTTAAAAATAAAAATTTTTAATTTAAGAAATAATTAAGACAGAGGGATGCCAAGCGGATTCTAAATTACGATTTTTGAACATTAAAGTGGCTATAACTCGGAAACGGCTCATTTCCGGACCTATGTTTGTATGAACTTTTTTGCTTGTTTTTGGGTCCCGAATCACCTCCCGAAGTGGAGTAGGCGATTTTTCGGACACTCTATAACTCAAAACGCGCAGAAAACTATCCCCTCTTTAAAAAGATAAGATAACAATTGATATTTTGGTCGTTTTAAGTGTACCTTTCTCTTTAGAGTGAGAATGTTGGTGACCTTATTGATAAATAAACTTAGGATATCGTAGATATAAAGAAATCAAAAAGCAACAAAGGAATATTCAAAAAGTAAAAAATTGGAACGTTTGGTAAAAGCACAGGCGTTAAAAATTTTTAAGAAAATTTGATAAGTTATATCTGTTAATCATGAGAGAACCTTATGCCATCTATTTGATAATATATAATTTAAAATGTATAACACGATACAACCTGTCGTTGGCGATTCAGTTGATTGTACTCGCTGTTGTGTATGTTCAGCTGTAGGAGTTCCTGTGGCATTAGCAGTCTCCGGCATATCTTCATTATGCTCTTGCATGCCGGCGGCACTTTGTCCAAGATCTCTCGATTCTCGATCCTGCGGTTGATCTTTCTCAATGATTATGCCATCCGCCTCCATTCCGGAGGGTGACGCGTCTTCCATCGCATGTGTTGTCTCCTCTGATAGTATGGTGGATGGCGTTGGTCTTCTACCCTGACGATCGCGCGCTTTGTAGGCCTCCACGGCCTCGGAGATATGTTTGCACCACAGCTTGCGCTCTACCGACGTTGGTGCCACTAGATTGTACATCTGTGCACCATTCTGTGAGGTGTTGACGAGATAGAGGGAATCTTTTTCGGCGGCGTTGTGACGCACCAGTACGGTAGATAGTTTGACAATCGGACTCAGCACCGAATTTCCCGCTTGATTGGTTGTATTAATAAACTTAAGCAAATACTTATCGTCTTGTCGATGAAGAAAAAAGATCGTATCGTCAAGCAGTACTACATGCAGATCAACTGGCTTCGGCACCGAACGATTTGGCATTGATCGATTTGGCTCAGTACGCCGCCACTGCAGTGGCCCTTCGTAGATCAATTTACGCTTTGTAATATCAAGGTTCTTGAATTCTTGCACAGTTGGATGATCGAATTTATCGAAGGCTGACCGATCGATCATTCGTTGAATGTCCGTGAGTCGCTGATGATCCTCGGCCTCTTTCACCGCCTGATTCACGCGACTTAGAATCTCTTTGCTTCGCTCAAGGCTACGCAAAACGGCTGTTTTCTCTTTCTCGTTACCGTCCAGCGTATACTTAGCAAGGTTTTCAAAGAGCAATGGATACTTGGTGAGTCGCACCATACCAGTAGGTATGTGATCTTTCAACTGAAGCCTACGACACAATGGATTTGCCTCTACCTCATTTAGGAAAGCGTTAAGCTTGGAATCCTTACGTCGATGATCGCGCAGAGCATCCAAGGCAATTTGCTGTTTAGCACAGTAAGTTGACGCAGCCTTTTCGAACACCTCGCCAGCTTCTCCGTCAAACATCTCTAGCAAAAGCTCACCTATGTCGCTCACACACGAATTCTCCTTCTTTTTCCGTTTCATTGCTTGATTGAAGCGCGAATGTATCATCAACATCTCGTCCAAATTAGAGAAAAGTAACTGAATCTGATCTAATGGCAGCACTTGGGACTCCAACAACGGTTTGTGGAAGACATGTGAAAGTACTTTCAACGCGCGAACGTGAGAGCGTTCGGTGTGGAACAATTCTATAAAAAAAAGATTTTTATATGCATATAAATAAAGATTAAATATACATACACACAGATACAGCATTTAAAAAGCAAAAGGAATAATCATTACCACTCGAATGATAATAAGTAATACTTGAATGATATGTTAATCACTCTGTTGTTTAATTCATTGGAATCAACTCCATAATTCTTAACTTGTTCATCAATCTATTGTACAGATATAAATTTGGTAAAGTAGTTTATTGATTTTTTAAATATTATAAGAAGATGGTTGATGTGATCTCTCGTGAGTTATGACAAACTGACTACACTCACCATTAATAACGTCCTGTCTTTTTTTCTCGGAGTTGCTGAGCTGCGCGAAAATGTCCTCGGGGACAGCCTGACTCCAATCCGGCGGGTCAGCCTCAACGTCGACATCGCTGTCCCACGAAGTTGACGCGTTTGCCGCCGATGAGGTCGGGTGTACCTGCTCCAAACTGGTACTGGGACTATCCAGACTCCTCGTTGAGAGGCTGCTGTTCGACGAACTGCCGGCCGAGTTCCCGGGAAATGTGCCGGTGGGCTGCTCGCAATCACTGGAACCGACTCTATAGTCAATCGTTAGCAATTTATATATTTCACTACTTATTAACTATAATATATCTAGTGTCCGGTATCATTCAATCACGCTATCATGTCAATGTATAAAGAAAATATACTCGGGATATATTCTTTGAAAGAGAGCCATAAAAATATATTACCAGATAAGAACAAGGTCTTTCTACCTCTGTTTCCTCGTTTCTTGAGAAATTTTCTAAAGTGAGGATTTCACATATACGTCAGGATACAACAATATATGTAGAATCTTTTTTTCTCTTACAATTTTCAGAATATTACAGATTCATCTTTTATTAGAGATGTAGAATTGTGAAAAAGTATGCTGCCTCACGGTTGAGGTACTGCAAAGAGCAATTATATTTTATAGTTAACCCTAGCCCTACGCCAGACTATTTTGCTCACATGGATGTTAAGTCAGGGTTTGTGAGACCTGACATTTTAATGTACAAGTGTCATTAATTTGTAAAAGTTTGTTTTCTATGAACAGTATAAAATAGGAACGTACCATCAAAAGTGAATTTTACTAATTACATTGCATAAAGTAATTATTTAAGAAGTATTCCAAGTAATTTAATAAAGTTAAAATGTTTTACAGGGTTTTCCAGATCCCGACTAGTGTGCTAGGGTTAATAACTTTTCTATAATAATAAACAACGAGGGATGACTAAATTTCTTGAATATTGTTCAGAGCCATGTCCTTGATGATATATGTCAAGGTCATTGAAATTAGACGGTCATTCTTAATGAGTAGTTTTACCATTTTTTACATCCTCAAAAATAACAAAAGTATTTTAGGTAATCAAGTTAAATAAAACTATTTTGCCACTTATACTAGATTATTTGTACATATTTTGCTTTTCTTATTCTATTTCGTTCATCTACTGTAGATGTACACAAGTATCAACAATTCTAATCTTCCTCTGTATCGCATGCGGGATTACTTTTAAAGATGCATTTGTCCGATACTTTCTGTCGGTGTAAAAAAATTACAATTTTACACTTGACAGTTTTACCATTGTGTAAATATACAGGATGTTCCAAAACTTATAATTAATTTTTAAGGGGGTAAAAAAGGACAAAATTCTGAGAGAAAAGCTCTGGTGTCATATTTATCTCCGGTCATTATTCGCCGAGTTATTTAGCAATTAAGTTGATTAATCCCATACATGTAATCCGAGTTACCTGAATCAGACCGTAATATCTGCGCAACCTACGTTGGGTGCCCTACTCAAAGTCCGTATTTTCCCATATTTGATTTGATTTAATTCTGTTTCTGAATAAGTTGATGTGTTGGTCATTGATTTTAAAAGTGCATGTGTTAAGGCAATTATTCCACAGAATCCACTTGTGTGAGAATTTTATAAAGTTTTGACAGTTTATTCTTTAAATTAATATGTACAAAATAAACCTAATTAAATTAAAATCGAACGTCTCAAAGTTCTGTAAAGTAATGTCAGGTTTATTATTTCTACACGTAACGCCTATATCAAATGCACTATTGATGGTATGTTTTATTATGTTTTTTTAACTTAATAACACGTAGAATTTGTATGAAAAATAGATATGTCATACAGTAAGGTGAGACAAATAATTGAAAAAGAAAATCATTGACAAAATGATTCACCGTCTCAAAGTTCTGTAAAATATTCCGTTTGAAGTTTATTTGGCAACGCTTTTTACTTCAGCTGTATAACCTTAGGTATAAGTTATTTTTTATATACGTTTTAAGTGTACTTATGTCATAAGTATATTTTTCAACACGGTGTTGCATCAAGATATATCATTGTAATAATTAAGTGATTTAGTTCTTGTCTGGAATAAACTTTTGAGCATGACTGTCGTGGTATAACTACCTCGAGAATGGAACCCCACACTTGAGCCGGTACTGCGGCGTAAACGAAATTGCAATCATTAAATATAACTCACTGAATAACGACTGGAGAGAAAAGTAACACTTTCATCTCAGAATTAGACCTTTTTTCACCCCCTCAAAGATCAAGCATGAGTTTAGGGACATCCTGCATATGTTTCGAAAAAGTTTGCAACATGTCTTCTCCCATTCTCCTGTATCAAACCCACCCCTCTCAATTTATAAATTAGTTATACAACATAATAAGGAAAAATATAGCCGAGAGTTACGACTAAATCTCATCTTCCTCTTGTTATAAAAAGTACCTTTCAGACTTTGTTCGCCGCTCGTTGAGACAATGTAGATATTCACGCGCGGTGACAATGACATCGTCACTTGACGCGGTACGCGCTTTGCCGACGTTCTCGTCAGCATCCAAATTTTTCTTCGTGGTAGCATCAGCCAACTGATCCGAACACGAGGCCAGTTCTAACACTGACGGATCGACAGAGCTCTCGTCGTTGGACGAAGCTCGAGGACGAACGCGTCGCGAGCCGCGCTGTCTCATTCTCTTTACACTCTTCCTTTAGTCATTTGAAGACTTGAGACCTTCACATCACGCGCGCGCCTGTATACGTATGCATGTATGTATTTATCGAAAACATTTTCAGATTTGCCATTGTATGTACGTTCACATGCGATAAAATAGCGACACTTTAAAGATCATCGATTCCACACCGAAGATTTTGCGACAGTACATTGGCATTTCAACCTAAATTGTGTAAATTCCCAATAGAGAGATTCTACCTTTAAAGAAAACGTAGAATGCGCAAAGCAGTCACGAGTTTTCTTCTCTTTTAATATCAATGGATTTAATATAAATCAATTTTTGATAAATGTGCTTCTTTACAACAAACAGTTATGGACGTGATTAATCTCGAAAAATATTGTTAAAATAGGAGGAGAAAAGAGAGAAAAGCTATAAATGTATAAGATGTCCTAGTCAAGAATAGCAATCTCTTGTGGACATACAAACTAAATAAAAAGAACTTTACAAGTTCCTATAAAATTGTTCTTTTATAATGCTTCCTTAGCGAGATGTTTGTCTTTAAAGTTTGCGTTTCTGAAATATTATTCTTAAATAACTCTTGTATCATTCTTCAGATCTTAATAAGTTATACCATAGTAATTATTTTCATTTAGTAAAGAGCTCTAAAACAATGTGATAAATTTTTTGACACCAGTGTTGAGGAACCAGAAACGCCACTACTTTTAACCCTTCTAATCTACAAAATTTGTAAGTCAGTACATTTTTTAAATTTCACATTTCTTTTACTCTGCGTCTTTTTAAAAGAAAAATGTGCTTTTGTTTCATTTTATAAAAATAAACGGTAAAAACTTTCGAGAAACTCATTTAAAGAATGTCAAATCAATTATGTTAAAACTTATAATAATTATTATCTAATTGTTATGTAACATACAATAATTTTCAAAATTTATACTTTAAATATAGTCGAAAGTACAAGTTTTAATAATTATTTTAACATCACAGTTAAACAATGGTTATTAAAAATTATACAATGGTTAAATAATTATTGCTTAACTATTATTTAATTATTATATCAAGAAATTATCACATTGTTTTAAAGATCTTTACTAAATGTAAAAACAATTATTACAATTTATTGAGATTTAAGGAGTAATATAAAAGAGTTTTTTAAGTATAATGCACGCATACACGCGCGCGTATATATAAGAAATTTCTTAATAAACGCACTAAAGAACAAAAACTTCGCAGCACAAAGAAAGTACGCTTCGTGAGGAACATCCTATACAGTTATATTGATTCGAAGGTATCGATCGTTTCGGAAATAAAAGCCAAGACACATCCGTGCTCTGACATCACTCAGTTTACCAACGTGCACACATATTGGACAGACCCGATAAAAACGAATTGTTTTTTTTCTTTCGACCTATTATATTGATTCTTTCAAAATAGATAAGTGTGAAATACTCATTTTTTATTTCTATTTATCAGTTATTTTAATTCGTAAAAATTACCATCCTTCTAGCGATTGTAATTTCAATGAATTCTTCGATTATTCACATTAATATTATGGTCTTTTTCCCAAAATTAACCCTTCATTTTAATAAGTTGGATGTTTGAGCTAAAATGACATATGGGCATACAGTCCTCGTGTAATTATACTCGAAATTTATAAAAATACAATATTTAATACATAATTTTTATTATAACAAAATGATTAACATCAACTACAATGTAGACAGATGTTTCATGAATTATTTTAGATTTAAAAAATTACTTTAAAATTATGAAAATAGCGACAGACCTACGTGTACACTAAAAAGATACTGAAAAACCATGTTTAGTTAAAGGGTTAAATGTAACTAGTAAACTATTAAGAGAACTTTAATCTTTCAAATCATGTATATATACATATAGCTAGGAATTAGTTTGTTCCGCACCCAAATTCATTCCCTTTTTTTCATTTTACTATCCTTCCTTTCGTTAAAATCTTTAATTTGTTATCGATTATAAAAATCGATCATTACTCTGCGCTATAAATATATAAAATCAGTGCTATAACTGTGTATAAAATCTATTAAATTTTCTTTCTTTTTCTACAAAATAATCATGTTAAGTTTACAGTAAACAAATAGATCGTCTGATCATATTTACATTAATTTAACTATTGTAAAAAATTTATAAAAATTAAATTACTTAAGTTAATTAAATAAAATTGAGTTAACTAGTTAAATTAACAAAAATACTACATTTTTGCATATATTTTTCTTTTCCTTCAATATTATTCACCAAAACTACTTAAACTAAGTAAAAATGTTTATACGTAAAACATTTAATTTACAAAATTACACTAACAAAATGTAAATCTGCAAAAAGGAGTGTTTATTCAATTTCTGAATTAGGAAAATTACCGAACTTTTCTATATTGTAAAATATGTTGAGCTAATAACTGAAATATCTTATAGTATAAAACTATTCAAGTTATGTGTTTCCAAAAATTAAAAGTTTCATCAAAATTTACTATATACAACCATAAAATTAGAATATTCTATAAATAAACAACTCAAAATAATTCATGTTTATTTCCATAATAT